TTCAAATGTTCGGTTTTTGTGGAGTCCCACAGCCCCTTTTGCCACCCTTCAAATTACAGGAGGAGAAGGAGAAGGAGAAGGGGGTAGGATGGTGCAAAAACCTGTTCAAGAACTTGCCTCTCTCTGATCCACCCCCCCCCCCACACACACACACACACACAGAGAAATATACAATTCTCGAGAGCATCCCTAGGGAAATATTAAAATACTAACTCCATTCTTGGCACTTGCAGGCATTTTTTAAGCAAGTTACATTGACCACAGTGTGGCTTATTTTTAGGAATGTCTGGACGTCAGACTCTCTTTCCAGCTCTTCTTTGCGTGAGTGAAGCCGTCTGGGCGGCCAGTCCTCAGCCCAGCTACTTTGACGCATTAAGATCTAGGATGGATTGGTTTGGAAAGAGAAGGGAAGGAAGGCAGGAAAGTGGGAAGTCCATCAAATTCACTTGGTAGATCAGCTGGATACGTTTGATTCTAAGAAATACATTTTCTGAGAAGTAGCCTTGCACTAAAGATAGTGGAACTTGTTTCCCAGAAAATTGTGGAATGCCAGAGGTTTGATCTGTTTGCATTAAAAAGGCTTTGTTGCAAATTATCTGTATCTCTTTCTCTCATTTTTTTTAAACTATACCGATTTTAACTAACATTATGGATGAAGAGAAGGCAAGGAAAAGCAAGCGCGATCTTTGCTTACCAGCAGAAGAAAATGGTTTTAGTTTTAAGTAAAGGAAGCAAGCTTAGAATTAGAATAATAGGGAAAATGTTTTTTTCTGGGAGGGGTGTGTGTGTGTGTGTGTGTGTAAATAATTGTTGCCTTTAGCAGAGAGCTGAGATAAAACCATTGGGACCCATTCTAAAGTGACCCATCACTGAATTCATTTTGCTTGAACTTTCGGTGAACCTGAGATTAAACAGGGGTGAGCAGCTAAGCAGTTTGTTGTTAGCTGCCTTTTCAACAACCCTTTTCAGACTGAGTAAATATTGATCGCTTTCAATCTGATTGCCCCAGAGAAAAACACTGGGCATTTTGGTGTAGCCTCCAAAAGTAAACTTTAAAGGTGAACAACTTTTTTTAAAAAAATCCAGCTTCCTGCTTGAAAGAAGAGACTAAACTTCATGTGGAAGGCAATAAATGCCTTGCTGTAAGGAACCAGCATCAAAAGCAGCTCTGCGAACACCATCCTATCCAGCTAGCCTAATTCTGTGGTGGTGGTTTCGAGGAAAATGTTCATATTATGAGTTCCTATCCTCACCCTTCCATATCCTTTGACGCACTTCAGGGAATTGGAAAAGGAAATATGCCCCAAATTACCTTGTCAATAAAGAGAATGTGAAGAATTCATTGATCTGTGGATCTGATAGTTGTGATTAATCTATGTATTCATTCCATTGCAGAGATTCAGTTCTGCACATTTTGAGAGGAATTAGTGTTTTGAGTCTTCATAACAGTTTTCTTAATCAATTAGCATCAATCCAGTAACACCTGACTCCAGGTGCTGCAATCCTATACACAATTATCTAGGATTATGCATATCCTAAAGATGGTCCTATGTTGACTAGATATCTAGATCACATTGAAAATCATCCTCCAAGAATTGCACTGAAACAAAGATGGCTTTATCAAATACGTTTAGGATCAGTTAGGCTGACAGTTTTCAGTTTTAGCATGTTTTTGAGCTTATTGATCAATAAAATCCAAGGCAAGAAAAACTAAACTAAGGAAAGCAGTGGCACGTCCTTGTGAAGGCAGATGTCTTTCTAGCAGCTAAGTCTTAACTCTCCCCCGCTGTAAGAGAAACGGCTGAGGGAGTGTGCTTAGTCCCTGTTCCTTGCATGCCCAGAAAGGTGATTCTTGTATGACCCTATACAATTAAACAGGGCTTCTTCTTGGCTAAGTTAGAGTAGAAGTGCAACTTTAAACTACAATTCAAAACCACACTGACTGGGGAGCGAGCCCCTCTGATCTCAGCGGGGCTTGCGTCTGATAAAGTAAATGTTCACAGTGCCAAAGGGGGAAATGATGCTGGAATTATTTGGGAGCACGAGCCTGGAGCAGCACGGGAAAGAGAGAAATTTATTCCTAGATGATTTCTCTATAAATGCTGAATTTGTTCTGCAGGAACACTTATGTCGGTGCTCCTTAGAGTTAAGATAGTCAATTGTTATCTTCGTAAAGGGGTCATATTAGGACAGCTTCGCAACACTTCTAGGGAGAGGAGGAGGAGTTCTTGCCAATACTGTTTTACTGTTCATCCTTTTTCATTCCAGCCGAGGGTTGCGGGGTGGACCAAGCTGTCAAAAGGGCTCGGTCCGCATCGCTAGCGCGCGAGTTTTCGGAGAGATTGCAGTCCTCGGCGCCATTGGCATGCAGATGCCACTCGGTTCACTTGTAAGGCTCCGGTAGAGAAGGCCATCTGTTTGGCTTTGTAGCTTCACCCCAATCAACAAAAGGTAGAACTATAAGGCCGGGCAGGAGCGGGGGAGGGGCGGGGGGTGGAATGAAAGCGAGGACTCCTCCCGCTTTGAAGTGGAGGGGCGGTGGCAAGATCCCTTTGGAGACAAGCCGCGCGCTTTGGCAGGGGCCTCGCCTCGTTTCTCTTGATATGGCCGATGCGCCTGCAAATCAAGACTTGTCTGCTTTGACACTTCAGCGGAGAAAACACAGCCGGCGCACGCCAGCTCTCTCTGCAGAGCTCGCTAAGATCCTTCCCTCCTTTGAGGGCTGGGAAGCGGTTGCACGGGTCCCTTGACCAGATTGCAGGGAAGAGGTTAAGTCCCCCTCCCCAGGCTCCCCAAAATAGACACTGTTTCAAATGGGTTGGAATGAAATTCAAAGGACGTGGATTATGACTCATGGCTAGAACGAGTCTGTACACAATCCACCAAGACGCTTAAAAAGAAAGAAAGAAATGGTTGGAAAACCCAAACAGTTAAAAAAAATAAAATAATAAAATGTGTTAACTTGTTTGCAAGCCTTTCTGACATCCACTTGCCAGAACTTGTTTTTCAAATCATGGGGAAATCGGTTAGGGTTGTACAAATATGCTGGCTTGCACACCTGGGATAAGAAGTGTCCTTAAAATCGGATCCTCTCCCCCCTCCCTCTTTTTCTTCTTCCCTTCCCCCCACAACTTTGCGCCCTGTAGATGTCACTGACGATTTAGAAGGGAAGGAGTGATGCTGGGTCAGTAGGATAGCTTTATACCCAGGGATAATGAAATGTGACTCTCTTAACTGGTGGCTTGTGATGTGAGGAAAGACCGGCTGAAGACAGCTTCTGCTTTTGAAGAGGACTCTGTTTACACATAGGTCAATATTCAGTTCGGGGTGAAAAGGTTAGCACTTGACCCAGGAAGTTCCCGCAACGGTGATTCAAAATAGCTCTAGTTCCTTCACTCCCCTTCTCTAGCAGGAAAAGTTAAACAAGGATCCATCTCTTTCTACTGATTAATTATCCTCCTTCGTCTATCTTAGGGCTTCTGCCATCAAAGAATTCTGCCTAGACCAAATGCTGGAAAGAGAAGTTTGGCTAAAGCCACTTTGGCGAACCTAAGGAGTGCTGAAATAATAACCTCCACCATGACCCCTCCTCCCCAGAATATACTGAAACAAATAAAAACCTGAGATATGAGTATATTTATTACAGAGATTTGTAGGACCCGTAAAATTCTGCTCTGAGTTCCGTTCTCTATTTCACAGAACTTCAGAACCTTGAATGATTGTACAGAAAAAATCAGAAAGTACTTGATCACAAATGACAACTGATAGAACTCAGTATTAAGTTAACTTAGTACATCAAAGCTTTGTGCATCATGCAAAGTTTCATACACGAATCACATAAAATATACATTCGTTTGGCCATTTGTCACATTCAGGAAATTTGACTGAAAGACTTCAAGTCTAAAGTAGGGAAAACGTGAAAAGAGGGAGGAGGCGTGGTTTGCTTCCCATTTTTCTTAATGGTAATATTGGGTTGGAATGACCCAGCACACATTCTGGGGAAAATAATTGTTGTGGGGGTGAGGGAGGAGACACTAATAAGCAAGGTTTATTTAAAAAAAAAACCCTAGTGCAATTTCGACTTTCTCTTTTTAGATCGTTCAAAGAAATGGGACTACTTTATGATTTCTGAGGTATCTGATTGAGTTGAACAAGTTTTTTTATGACATCCTCACATTTTCGCTATAAAATCGAATCAAGTTTTGAGAATGTAACCACCCTGTTTTAAGCTCATAATCTATCTAAACATTTCTAGAAAATCTGTAAAAAGATAAATCTCTTGGACAAAGTATTTACAACCAACAGACGTATATCATACACACAAGAAAAACAAACGTTAAATTAAAGGGTGAACGTTGTAGAACTCGTGTAAACGTTTTCAATAGTGCATCTCTTCGTGGAATTGAGTAGGTCTTCTGTATCTTTGCTCAGAGGAAAACCTACAGAAATGTCTTTGGGCAACTTGATTCTGGCCTAATAAATTCACATGATTGTTCCCACAAATAGTCTAGAGATGAAAACAGATAAATAAATTCACGTCCTTAGAACTGAGGAAGGGGAAATTGAAAAGGGCTCCCTCAGTATGATTCTGTGTAACCTATTAAGGCCGCGGGCACAATCCAGCCAAAGCGAGCTGGAGCTGGATCCCACTGATTTCAACGGGGTTTAAATTAGTCTCGACTAAGTCCCGTCCCATTACTTTCCCTGGGCTTTAGGAGCGACTAAATGTTGCTGGAATTTACCCACGGATTTGGAGGACACTTCCATTCCAATCAGGGAGACTCGCCTCCAGGTCAAAGTGGCTCAGGGCCGGAGTTCGGGTCTCTTTCGGTCTTCCAGCAAGACTCGGAAAAGAAACTACCTGGAGCCAAAGCAAGAAGGGGTGGGGGAAGAGACCAGATACGTGTTTTAAAAAAGTAGTTCGGACATAATCAGAGTACAGTTCGATTGTGCGTAGGCTGGGCGGGGACTGAAGGCGCAGCAGCAGCAGCGTGGGGGGCTCAGTTCGAGGTAGCAAGTGTGTCTGAGGTAGAGGAGGCCGGCGAAGGAGTACATGGGCAAGGACTGGATTTCTCCGACGACTCCTCCGTTTTTTCCTCACTTCCCGTGGGGGTGGCCGGCGAAATGGGGAGCAAGCCCTCTTTCTCCCTCTTCTTCTGCTTCATCCTGCGGTTCTGGAACCAGATCTTCACCTGGGTCTCATTCAGCTGCAAGGAAGCCGCGATCTCCACCCGACGGGCCCTGGTGAGGTATTTGTTGAAGTGGAATTCCTTTTCCAGCTCCGTCAGCTGCTTGGTGGTGAAGTTGGTGCGGACCGTGTTGGGCTGCCCGACGTAACCGTATTCCCCCGCTTTCCCTGCAAAACACACGCACACAACCAACAACAACACAGGCCGCACATGAATGAATGAACCCAGGCCGATCTGGAGGTGAGCCGAATCAATCGCCAGGTGCGCGCAGGTGAAAGCAACAGAGGGCCAGCTCTTCGCGTCAAAGCCACGCTGCGGACCAATCCTCGCCAAGTTTATTTCGAAGTCAGTCCGGCTGAATTCGCGTGGGCTAACTTCCCAAGAAGTGGACTTCCTTGGGGTCAGTGCAGCGCAGAGAAAGCAGCTATTTGGGTCGTGGCAGGCTAGCCCGGGGAGTGGTTAATGCATAGCCCAAAGGGGGAAAGCACCCCCAGCACACACGCGCGCACACACGAGTGAGCATGTTTATCACAACATGACCTTTTCGTGTTAGGAGATCGGCTTCCCTTCAGGATCCCAACCACACCTTTCTTCCTTGGACACCTGGGGCAGCCAAGCTTAACTCGTAAACATCAAGCCAGCCAGCCAGCAAGCCTAACACGAGACCGCAAGCTTCCTCTCGAAACTTTTCAAAGTCGAGAGTGATTGATCTTGGCCCGTGACTCACCTGTTTTAGGAGGGTTTCGCTTCACTTTCATCCAGTCGAAAGTCTGGGCTGGAGGAGAGGTCTCTGAAGAAGGAGAGCCGCAGGTTTCCTGGTGGTTCGAGTGGAGAGGAGACAAGGGGTGGCTGTAACCGGTCAGGGGCAAGTTCTGCTGTTCTTCTCCATAAGAGGGGTGGATGTACTGAGTGGAGCTCGCGGTGCCGCCAGCGTAACTCTGGGGGTGCTGGACCATGGGCGACAACACGCTTCCGCCAGAGTAGGGGGCGGGAGCGCACTGGGGGTAGCCCCCGCTCATCTCTGCCTCTTGGCTGAGTGGGTAGTGGCCGTAGCCCCCCGCGCTGAAATTCTGCGCGCCATAACTGGGGTGCGAGTAGGACATCCCCAGATTGGGATGGTGCTGGTAGGCGGAACCAGTCTGGTGGTGGGGATGGGGGCTGATCGGGACGCCCCTGCCCACTAGGAAGCGGTCGTCCCCGTTGCAGCTGTTGGCACTGACCGCGCACGACTGGAAGGTGGCTGTAATCCCATGGTCGGGGTGGTGGTGATGGTGGTGGTGGTGGTGGTGGTGGTAGGCACGGGAGGAGCAAGTGGCGGACTCGCCGTTGAGGATGGGCGGATAATCGAGGAAGGAATTCATCCTCGCCGTGTCCATCTATCACCGATTGACCGGCTCTTCGGAGTCCTGGGTGACCGTGCCAACTTTCTCACTTCCTCCATGGGGGCCAGAAGAAAAATGATATGAATGTACAGTGAGACGGCGGCCACGTGAGGGAGGCAGCCAATGGCTGCTGGTCCTGCCAAAGTTGCCCTGTTCCTTCCTGGTGATGGATCACCCTGGCTGTGGCATTTAAATTCCAAGCGCTCCTCCATCAAGGTGACGCGCAGCCACCACCAGCACCACCACCTCCCTCCCCCCCTCCTCCCTCCCCCTCCTCCTCCCCGTCCCCAGTCAGTGCGCTGGGCTTGGAGAGCCGGGCCAGAGAGGCAGTGCGCGCCCGGGCGCTCAGCCTGAAGCAGCAGCGGCCCCGGAGCGGCCGCCGGAGGGGGCTGCTCCTGCGTGGATTTGCGGAGGAAGAGCCTGGCTGGGCAGGTAAGCAAAGGGACGACTTCGTCAGCCGGACGGGGCTCCGGGGCGAGGAGCCGCCCCCCTTTGGGCTGCGAGGGGATTCAGGGAGCGCGGAGGGACGGCTGTGGCTGCCTCGCGCTCTCGACCCGCACGGCCCGGGTGTCTGCGCGAAGCAGCCTCGTCCGGATCCCTGGCAGGGGCGGGGAGGGCCAGGGGACGGAGCGGCGTGGCAGGGCGAGCGTGAAGTGGGGGGTGCGGGACACGGAGATGGTGATGCGGCGGCAGGACGGGCTCGAGCTCTGCCCGGCGCCGAGCCCTTTCCGGAGAGCCTGGCGCGCGCGTGCACCGGCAAGAGTTAAAAGGCGCTTGGTCCAGCCTCCCGCGGTGATTTGCATGGAAATGAGCCGTTTGTTCTGCCAAGGCAGCGCCATTGTTCGCCGCCGCCGCCGCCGCTTCTGCTGCTGCAGGCAGACAGGCGGGCTGGGAGGCTTGATGCTGCCCCCGCACCGCGCGAAGGCTGGACGGAGAGCGGCGAGAGATTGGGGAGGCCAAGGGTCTGGGCCGAGATCGGGGTGGCTCTGCCTGGCGGCTGGGAACTGGACAGTCCGGCCCATCAGATGCTGTTAGGTGCGGTTGAGGAAGAAGCGCTTACAAAGGTTGCCAAGGAAGCGGTCTCAGATTCTGAGCCATCAGCGCGCCTGTGCAAACTCTCGCTCTCGCTCTCTCCTCCTCCTCTCCTCCTCCTCCTCTCACTTTCCCCCATTTTCCTGCCTCCCTCCCTCACGCACAACCTTTGCCTACCTCAGTGTCCTTTTCTTCTGTTCCCTCCCACCCCACTTCCAATAAATACACACGCACACAGTTCCAAAACACGAGATCGAAGGCGATGCTCTGTTTTAAAATACCAACACCTGATGACATACCCAGCAGGGGAGGAGACTAGAAAAGAGGCGGGGGCCGTGGCGAGAGCAGCGCGCTCCTCCAAGGGGCTGGTAGAGCGCTGAAACAAATGGCGTTGGAAGTGGCCTGAACTGCTATTTTCCTCCTATTCAGGCCCAGCTGGTTCTTCTCGGGGCATAAATCCCATTTCCACTCAAGTCAAGGAAGGGAGAGACATCTAAGTTTTAATAGATGTCAAAATGAGCCAAGGGAAAAGTTGACATTTGTGTAGATGGTCCCACAGAAGCTTCAACTGCTCAGAAGAGAGGAGATGTCCAGGGAAGATAAACAGCAATCCTTAGCCCTTTCTTCTTCCAGAGCATCATGGATACTTCGCAAAGTCAAACTTGACAAGAATAGTTAGCAAGTTAACATTTTAGGATCAACTGATTGTTTCTATATCCATTAAATGAGAACACTGTTTTCCTTTCTAAAATGCAGATGATGCTGTTCACTGTTTTTCCTTAACTGGTTTGCTCCCTTTGTGCTTACCAATTAATCACCAAGTCCAGCCTACCTTGAGCATCAAGGTAAATATGAATCACTTCTGACCAGGAGACTCAGTGGAAGAATCTTTCATGCATTAAATGAGTAGAGTTAAGCTCTAGTTGTAAAATACTTCTTGTTGGCTGGACACATGCACCCTATATTTACCCTTAACTGTTCTCTGCTCCTCCTCTTAAGGAAAGACAGGTCATACCTCTGCATCATTGAGGTTGGAGAGACTGTGTAGAATATATCAATGGACAGATTGATGTCCATGATCCTCAGTTGCTCCTACAATTGTGCAGGGCTGGAGCATGGGTATTTGGAAAGACATTGATATTAATGGCTTTTGTAGCAAAACCATTGGATGTAGCATTATTTCATGCTTAAATGAAAGAAAATGTATCTGTGGAGGAATAGATTAACAACATTTGATTTAAACATGACAGTTGCCTATCAGGATTTATATAATTATCTGCAAAGTCGATAGTTCAAGTTGGCCTTGTTCCATGAATTAACCAGAATAGATCATCATTTCATTTGGGTCCCTTACTATTGGCCCCAAATCTGTCTCTCTATCCGTTTTCCCATTCAGGCATTCTTTCCTTACAAACATTTTCTCTCCCGTTCCTGCTGTTCCCTGCTCCCTTCAACACTTTCCCCGTTTTTCCGCCATTGTTCTGAGGAACTCTTTCCCTTTTGTTAGATTGTCTAGGGCCTAGTGCTTTGCATTCTGAAGCCAACACAATTCCTCCGCTTACCAGAATGCAGAAGGGAACAAATGGGGAGGGGGCTGGGCTGAGAGGACAGAGGCTGTTGCCTCTTGGTGTGGCAAAGCAACCAAAGTTTGCGTCCAAGTCTGATCTCTTAACACACAAGCACAGTCCTGCAGACTCGCACAGCATTGTGGCCGTTTCACAGTCCGAGGTTTCCTCCTCACTCTCCCAATCCTCCACCCTTCATCTTGCATCAGCCTTTGTTGTATCCACTCATTTTCTTGTTGTTCTGAATGCTGTCCAACCACTGGGGTGTTTTGTTTCCCTGAAGGCTGGAAGTTTCCAAAATGTTCCCCCTACCGTACCTCCCAGATTTCTGAGTTCCAAAAGAATAGTTCGGATTCCCACATACCCTCATCAACGTGATTATTTTCATGTGAAAGAGGAACTCTGTATGTCTAGGCATATACTGATATCTAGGGGAAATCTACTTAAGGGTGTGGGTGGCGGCTGGTATGTGTCGAAGGAAGGAAGGAAGGATTCTTTTGTTCCTGACGCTTGTTGCTCCCTCACTTGAGCAGAAAAGCGCCTTGCCTGGAAACGAAAACATTCCAAAATGTACTACCTGAATGGAATTCCACGTCAAAAAAGAGAGGACCTCATCCCATGCAAAGCAGAGCAAAGCCAAAAAAGCAGTGGCTGGGGGTGGGGAGAGAAAAGAAAAGGGCCAGGATTCCCCGCTGCACCTGAAGCTTAGCCAAGCTGTTGTTTTAACAGAGTAATAAAAATGAATTATGGCTAACCGCCTCCAAGCTTAATGGTTTTAGACGGGGATCCCCAGCCTGAGCAAATACGTAAGAGGATTTTTATTTGTGCATGTGTTCCTGCAATTGATCTCTTTGATGACATTCTCATTCACAGAAAGCATTTGATTTATGAGTTTAGGAAGAACTGCATCCAATCCTTCCAGCTATTACCCACGCAGCTCAGCGCCATCCCACTTACATGGGTTGCAAAACAGGGAAGCAAACTACCATCAAACACTCTGAGGAAAGCAGCTAGGGAAACGATGCCTGCAAAGTTCTTGGGGAGATCTAGAACAGGATTATCCGAATATCTCAACTTCTATATTATATATCAACACAGAGAGAGATTCTCTCTCTCTCTCTCTCTCACACACACACGCAGTCATGCATGCATCTGCTATTGACTATTGATCGATTGTAGGGCACAAAACAACAGGTAATAATCTAAGCTTAAATAGGATTAGAGAATACACACATACCACCAATTAGCAGCACTTTTAGATGGGCCTCTAGACTTGCATTAGTGCGGGTCGCTTTGCTAGGTGATCTTCTTGAAATATGCACTTATTATCCCACTTCTAATTTAGGCTTTGTTTTGTTTTTTTAGAGTACCTTTCCTTCAACCACCACTAGCAGCAGCTTTTGTTCTGCAAACCTAGCAGAAATTTCAACCGTTAACGGGATCTTTCGTATACTCACAATGACCTACTATATTGGTTGTGTTGTTGTTGTTGTTGGTATCTTTTAAAAAATGTCTGATTTCCTCTCTCTCTTTTAGGTTTCTTTTCTTGGGACCTTTGGACGGCTAGGAATACCATCAAAGGCTTACCATTTTTGGCATTTAAGTACAGGTTCCTCACACCATCATTCCTTTCAAAGATCTGGTTTGAAAAAGGAATATTTAAATGCATCCAATAATCCAAAAAAAGCTTGTAAATGTTTGACTGTTGATGCAACAGTCCCTGTTTCCTTCTATGAAATAGTATAGTGACTATAGTCTACTTATACTTAAATGTTAGTTAAATTGTAGAATAAAGTACAGTATGTACGCGTAGCATATTATAGCAGAGAAAATTCTTAACTTGCTTCATACTTTTGATTTGAATGTGTTATATGGATTAATGAGGGGCTATTTTGTAAGGTTAGCTGTGTTTTAGTTTTTTATTTGTTTTTGTTTTCAATGATGAAAACTTTGGAAATAAATAAGTTGGCTTCCCTCTAATAAATATATTTCTAACGAAAAAGGACAGAGGTCTGTGACCAAATTGTTTGGTTTTATTTCAGGCTAGGGAGGGGAGGGAGAATACTTCCTAGTGTTATGCAGAGAAAGAGAGAGAGAGAGAGAAAGAGAGAGAGAGAGAAGAAAGGTGCTTGTAGCAAACAAGAATTTATTCTACCAAAAATACTTATGACAACGCATCCTAATGTAATACAAAAATAAAAAGAAAGTGAAGATACAATTTGATATGATCACTTTCTTACAGGCCTTATATATTGCTTTCATAGAAGGACCTAGAATGTGGCTAGGTTAAACTGAACACAACTAAAATGTCATAGGGAAATGGCAGAAAGGCTCTCCGTCACATCAGGAAGGGAAGAATAAAGAGAAAATACTGACCAGGGAAAGGGAAAGAAATTAAATCAAGGGGTGGGGGGGGGGGGGGCCAAAAAAAAAAAAAAGGGGGGGGGGGGAGGGGGGGGGGGGGGGGGGGGGAGGAAAAAGAAAAGAAAGCATAACCCTTGGCGAATGAAGGTCTGTCATTTCTCAGTAATTCAGATGCTGCAAGTCAATTGTGGTGAGTGTATCTGTAAAAAAGTCAAAACTGTCAGCTGAAATATCTACAGGACTGTCGAGGGATCCTGGCAAACTGGGAGAGACGGCATCCGAGAGCTGCAGGCAGGAATCTGCGGAGAAAACGCTGAAGTCCTGCAAAGAAGGGACTTCCAGGGCCTCAGGACTGTCATTGTTCAGGCCAGCTGCACAGTTCTGAGCCATTGTCGACAGGCAGTTGGGAACAGTGGGTGACTGATGCTGAAAATGTTTCAAATTTTTCTCATTGCTTGTTAAAGGCGAAACTGGGAAACTTTGGGACTCTCCATTGTGGATACTGGGAGCCTGCTGTTGCGCTAGTGCATTCTGCTGAAAAGGGTAGCCTTCCCTTTCCAAAAGAGCACCTGAGACATTGCTGAGGGCTTGCTCGAAGAGGGATTTTTCCTCCTCCTCCTCCTCCTCCTCCTCCTCCTCTTCCTCCTCTTCTCCCTTCTCGGGATCCTCCAAGCCTTTGAATTTGCCTTCGCTGGTCTGGTTCTCCTTGCACTGGGTCTGCCTCTTGTGCTTCATCCTTCTGTTTTGAAACCAGACCTTGACTTGCCTCTCAGTCAGATCCAGGAGAGCGGCGATCTCCACCCTCCTCGGTCTGCAGAGGTACTTGTTGAAATGAAATTCCTTCTCCAACTCCAAAAGCTGCGTGTTGGTATAAGCAGTCCTCAGCCTCCTGGAGCCCCCGCTCCCATTTTCGGAGATCTCGAGAGATTCTGGTTAAAGAAAACAGCAAATATTATAATAGATGTTACAGAGAAAAAGAAGGGGGGAGAGGAAGAGAGGGACAATGCCTCTAGTTTGAGATTTTGTACATCGAATCCCACTGAGAAAAGAATGATGCTGCTGGTGGAAAAATCTCTCTCTCTCTTTCCCTGTAAAGCATTAAAAATATATCAACTGCAACAAAATGGCCGCCCTTGAATGCAGTAAATCCATTGTGTTACACTCATGTGCGCCCGGTCCCTTGGACCCCCTGCTTTTCCCCCCTTCACCCAAGGAACTGATTTGCCTCCATCTCCCAAACCTGCCCATACAGGAGCAAACTTTGATATTAGCCATACAACAATTTATAATTAATGCATCAGCTGCTTAGCTGAGCAAGAGCAATCTATCACTCTTCATTACTGTCAAATATCCCAACTCTAGGACAGCGAGACAAGAGGAGGTCACCTCCAACTCAAATAAATCATCCCACGCTAAACAAGTTAGGGGGGGGAAAGAAACTTTGCTTGGGTGGGGGTAAGCGAGTTAGGGGTGTTGCTTCTGGTGCAGCCATCCGCCTGTGGATCCCCAGCAGTTTTCGTCCCTGGGTCTTCTTCCTCTAGCAACCCAGAGCGAGTGCCTTAAGTCAGGAAGGTAACAATCCAAGAGAGGCGACGGTGGCTGCGGTGGTAGAAAGGGAGGGGGAAAATAGATTAAATCCCTAGAAGGCGGAATGGTGCAGCAAAAGTCTTTCAACTGACCTTTGTGGCTCAGGCAAGCTGGTCCCGTGGCGGAGGCCGAGGCGGGCGGAAGGGCAGTTTTCTTGGAGGCTTTTTTCTCTTTCATCCAGGGGTACTCCGGAGGCTGGAGGGCGCCGGCTGGCACCGGGCTGCCGCCGCTGCCATTCGGGCTGTGCTTGGGGCGGCTGCTGTGGCGAGGGTGGCTGCTTGGGTTCAGGCTGGGGATGGTCTGCTCAAAAGGAGGAGGAATCAGTGTCGAGTGTGAAAGCGTCGAGTTCTTGATTGATGAACTTTGAAATGTATCACCGACAGGGGGAAAAGATGTCAGGCACTCAGCGAGCGATGGCTGACTATTGATAAAACCAATCTCTCGCTCAAATTCGAAATTCATGGCCTTCAACTCGCAGCCCCCTTGGAGAAAAAGTTCCCTCTTATTTAGCGCTTCTGGGAGGGGGAGGGGGGAGCAAGGCCCAGGAAGGGAAGGGGGGAAAAAGCGAGAGAGAGAGAGAAAGAAAGAGGGAGAGAGGGAGAGAGAGAGAGAGAGAGAGAGAGAAGGGAAAAAAATATCATAGAAGATCGCTGGTGGGGTGTTTTTTTTCTAATTCACTGATTACAGCCGTATGGGGACCGTGCTACTATTAAACTATTGAATTCATGGAGACAAGGTTGAAATTGGACCGAATTGGCTGTCACATGATTGCCTCTGCCCAATGACAATTTGGGCTTTAATCAAAAGAAGCCACTGTCTGTTTGATTGATCCAAAAAAGTCGAGAAGGAACGCCTCATTGGGGGCCAGAAAGGCATTTATTTACACTTTTTAAAAGGGGGGAAAGGCTATCTCCGCCGCCCGCCCGCCCGCCCGCCCTCGAGCTCTCCCCTTTTGCTCCTCATCCGAAGTGATCTCTAGGTGCGAGTGTGTGCCTGCGGTTGCCGGTGCGGTTGTTCGGCTGCTGCCGCCGGTGCCGCCGCCGGGCTGGTCTTGGAGGCTTCTGCCCGGCTGGTCCCCTCCCGCACGCGCTCCTCTCGCATTGTTTGGGACTGTCAGGCAGGCGCTTCGCACCTCACAAATCATTTAAGCACCTCCGATCTGACGCCTCGAGTCATTAACAAAGTAATCCATTAATCTTCAAAGTTTTGACACTCCGGGCCCCCGCATCTCCGCCACGGCAGAACTTGCCCCCGGCCAGGGATACCAGCAAGGGAGCTCTGCGTAGGGTGGACTGGACGACGACGACGATGATGATGATGATGATTGTTGCTATGATGTGTCCCCCCCCCCACCCCGCCCGTTAAGAAATCGCCACTTCCTAAAATTGAAGCAGCAGCGAGCAAGGACAAGGTGGGTCGTCGTCTCCCCCCACCCCCCGCATTCGCGCACGACCTGGCATCGTTCCGCATTTCTCCCCTTTTCGGCGGAGGGTACAGTACGGAGAACAATTGGCCCGCTGGTCCCCGCACCCGTCCATTGTGTCGAAGGAATTTCTCCAACAGCTTCGCTCCTGCGGGAAGAGTTACAGGACGCAGCCTGGCGGGTCGCGACTTTCGCCTGCAGTTGGCTTGACAGAAGTAGCCGGTCAAAACAGACATATTTTCATTAGGTACTGGGAATGTAAACAGAGGTTTCCTCGCACAAGCACGCAGGTACACAAAAGGGAGAGGGTGAGAAATCACAAAATAAAATCGAGAACATTAACGTCAAAGACACTGGAATCTGGTGACGTATTCTGTTTCTGTAACCCCAGTAAAATTGTATTTTCGATTCCAATGAAATATGCCAAAAGTCCATGTCAGGGTTTGTTCCCTTCAGGAAGGAAGGAAGGAAGGAAGAAAAGAAATCATGCAAACAAAACAAACATCTGTAAAAACTATACAACTAGCAGAACCTTCCCTAACTGCGCTGCTGAGGTACAGTCTCCCCCCCGCCCCATCTGCCCCTGCAACAATGCGGATGATTGGGACAGAGCAGCTCCCAAATAAAAAGGTGAGGACGAGAGGATCCGGACCAGCGTGGCAGCGGAAATAAGACAACCATTTCCTCTTCTCCAAAGGAAAGGCCACGAATGCTACTATTTTGGAAGCGAGCGTTTCGAAAGAAGAAGGGGGAGGGGAAATGGCATCTCTCTGTTTTTATATGTATATATTTCAGTGATGCTCAAATGATATCCGCTACCTTGGACTCTTTTTACATTTCAGAGTTGAACCATGGTTCTGGCTTGCGAGTGGTTAAAATCATATACTGGCCATTGCATCTTCAGATTGAGCGAATCTGAGCAAGAAAAGGAAAGAACAGAGCCGGCCAGAACAGCCCCTTCTAGTTTTAAGCAAATAAACCCCCCGCAGTATAGATCACGGGCTAGTAAAGGGTGGGGGAGGGGCCGAGATATTGTAATAATCTGTAACATAAAATGCAGATCAGGGATTGCTATTTAATCCTACTACTCTGAGGAGAAAGAAGGGTGAGAGCCAAAAGGATGGTTTACAAATATACATGCTACTGGAGATGCAGGAGTGTGGGGTTTTTATTTTTTTAATTTTCTTGCTTTTAGTTCAAACAAAGCTCTGCTGAAGCCTGCCCGCGATCAATCTTCTCGGCCAAACGCTTTGACAGCTACTGGCCCTTAAGAACACATTTAAAGGTTCTTGCTCTTTCCAGCATCCAATGTGGCTGAGAAAAGAAGGGGGGGAAGAGAAGATGCGCGAGTAAACAAGGAAAACTGATGTTGCTTCTGCTGCTGCTGCTGCTTTTTTCCCCCCTAAATAGATTTTTGCATTCAGGATGGGCGCTTCAGTTCTCTGGGCTGCCTTGAAGGCAGCTTGGAATTTCAGGTTTTATTTCACGATCTCTGTGTAGAATATTGGCGATTGCGGTGGCCTGCGTGGGTGTCTGAGTTTGTGGAAAAACCCACGAGGAGGAAAGACGAGTCAGGGAGGAGGCTGGGGAAGTTCGGTTCAGTGAGGCTTTGTGAGTCAAATCGGTGTGGGAGGGTATTGAGACCATTTCTGGTGGGCAGTGCGATAGCAAAACCACCTGGAACAAAGGATTTTTCTGTTTGGCTGGTTAAGAAAAAAAAATCACACACACACACACACGAAATTCCTCTGTTCTGTGCTTCTCTAAATGCGTTCTGAACAGCATTATACGCTGGGGTGCAGGGAAAAATTCAGACGACCCCTTTCCTGCAAAAAAATACACAGCATGGAAGAAGCAGGTAAATATATCTATCTTTGAAATCAGACAGAATTGGGAAGTCATTGTCTTTTTCTGAAAACTTGTATATGAGCATGTGTGTGCGCGCGCGTGTGCCAGAACCAGCGGCTTAGTCCTCCTTTATGCTCACTGATAGGAGATGCCCTTCTCCAAATTGATTTTGGGTAGGAAAATATCCACCATAATTCAGTCTTGTGGCATCTTTCTTGAAACGCTACATTTCGGATCTCCAGATTGATTTTTCCCTTCCCCACCATAAGCCTCTTTTAAACATGATCACATTTTTAAAGGTTCTGGGCAAGCCCTTCTTCAAGCTGGAGTGTGCAACTGTAAGTATAAATGGAACCGCTTAAGTGAAGCTGTAAGACGGTATGTATGGAATGCAAAATAATAACAAAGTTTGATATATGAGTTTCACAATAGTTGGCTGCTATAGAGCTTTTTGGACATCCTGGGGATGGGATGTGGAGCTTATTGGAACATAAAACTAGGAAGATAGAAAAGAGATGGGAGTGATGATATTTCAAAGAGGGAAACTAACATAGCAACAATTTCTTGAGTTAAGCAGATAATCAGGAATACTTTGCCTTCCCACACATATGCATGTAGGTGAAACTGCACATACATATTTGAGTCTTAGAATTCTAAACCCAGTCAAAATAACAGATGACCCCACATCTTTAAACTCTGATTATTTTCTTCACCAGCAAACCAACAGCCCTCTTTTCCCTTCCCTTTTCAGGATATAAATTTGCCCCATTTGATCAACACAGATCCGTGCCTGAGGGCATGGAAATAACTTTCTAGGGCTATATCAAAAACTATTTCGAAAGAAATCATCCTCTAAAAAGGAAACAAGCATTTTTCACCCTAGAAAATTTTATTTCCTCTTGCCTTCCTTCCTGCCCCAATGCAGAAAGACGAGGAGGAAAGGAGGTTAGATTAACAAGACTGTGCAAAATGATAAAAGCACCCAGTTTTTGAAACCATGGATGAGAAGAATCTCAGTTTGTGGAAGAGGCCATAAGGAACAGCTATCTCTTCTTTCATCCCCCAGCTCGCTTTGCTAGCAGGCTGATTTATTACTGCTGAATCTGCTCCTTCATTATTGGAATGATGAATTGTATTTTGCCTGTAAACAAATGTGTTTTGAATTTGTGCCATATCAAATAGGGGTCTACACACTCTTCATTCCATCCTTACTTCTTCTGGCCTTTATTTAATTTTGCCTCCCCCACACACACCCCTTTCCCTTCACTCCTACAACCATTACTGAATTGTTCGTTTTGTTCCCGAGAGGAAAAGTGTGGGAGAAGAAAGCGCCCTATCTTTTCCAAAGGTCCCCAGTGCAGGGGCGAGGACAGCTTTCTCCATAGGAACGGCTGGCCTCTTCCAGCAGACAGAGCTCAACATGGCGAGGAGAGAACAGCCTGCAGATGAGGACCAGCTAATCCTGAGGCCTCGGGAGGCGAAGGAGCAGCACCTGAGCTTCATTTGCAGAATGTAGCTCCACACATCAACATACAGTTTCTCCTCAACCTCCACCCCATTTTCCTTTGTCTAGAGAAGAAAATGGTACTAAGAAAAACAAGCACATGCAACAACGACCAAGCGCTACCGATGGCGGTATTTATGGAAAATGTCTGGAGATCTGCAGTCTGCAATTAAGGACACAAAGGGTGGATCTTTTCCAACCTGGATATTTTCAGTGCCCCCAAACCTCCCACGTTTATTTGGGATGGACACTACTTCAGCTCTGGCAGCTCTGAAAGCCCAATCAAGACAAAAAGAGAGAAAGACCTGAAGGTTGGATACTATATATTTGTGCATTTATTTGAAACTCAAGGGACTTGCTCTCGCTCATCAGACGTTGCTCTTTTGCTCATTTCTCTCTTTAAAAAAATCAAATGATTGCGCAAATGATTCTGTATTATTCAGAATAAAAACTTTATTTTTTTCAGAATGTGAGCAGCAAGGAATGTATAACTTTCAAAAACAAATCTAGTCTCTTTTTGTTGTAATTTGAGTTTACACATTTTCCGTTTAGTTTGATGTTACAGACATCCATTTCTGTTCCTATGGTGGCCTGTTGTTTGATTTCCAGATTTTATTGCATTTTCTTTCTTTCTTTTAAATAAAAGAGTTCTAGTTCCCTTTTCAAATGATATTTCCTATGTATGCCATCTCAACATACAGCCAGGTAAATATCTCCTGAATATTCAGGGTACAGAAGTTTATTTTTAATATCTTTATATATATAAATATGAACAGATGGGGATAAATAAAAAATTTTAACACTTAGATTATTCAAAGTTTGCAAAAAATATAAATAAATCTGAAAGTTCACCAGCATACACACGTTGAAAGACGTACATGTATTAATAATTTTGCTCAGGGACACCCTGTTCAAGCGCCTTTGATTTCTTCCTCGCTATTTAAAAGAAGTGCAATTAAAATAAAAATGTTTCCTCGGTAGGATCAGTTCTGTACGAACAAATTCACATTTAAGAACTGTATAGAAAATTTGTTCATAATACCCTGTTTTGATAAAAGAGTCAAAGTTAGGAGTAGAAAGCCTATGCATACTCTCAAAGTGAGAACACAAGGCAAGAGTTCAAGGAGATTAATGTCCACTATTGAAACTAGAGAGCCATTCAAGCAACAAATATTGCTACGTCACATAAACTAGAAAACGCTTTTACCAAAAGAAAAGGAAACAGAAGCAAAAGAGAAGGACAGGGTGGGGAAGGAAATTAAAGTATTTTTCTTTTCTTTCTTTTTTTAAAAAAGCTGAGGGACTTTTACAATTCACTAAGTAACGGATGGCGTATATTACAGATGGGTCAGCTTGGGCGCTTCCTGAATTCTTCCCTGAGAAGGATGGTGAGAAGTAAGATCTGTGTATGTCGGGTGTGGCTCGCAAGGTCCGTGGTGGTGATTGTTGCCCATTGGCCCAGTGTAGTCCATGTTGGCAGAGGAAGGATGAGGGAGGTGAGTTAGACCGAAGATAGACGGCCCAGAATTTGCCATGGCATCCACATAATTGCCCCCAACATAGACGGGGCTTCCCTGTATATGTGGATTCCCATAGCCATTGCCTTGGAGAGGATGAGGGTCATAGTCAGGAGTCACTGCGGCAGTTCCGGAGTATCTCTTTTGAGGAGGCGGGCAGTTATTGAGAGGAGCCGGATATGAGGTGGGTATGCCGTAGGCATTCTGGTGCGGCTTACTGAAGGCTGGAGGCGACTGGGGCTCGTACGGAACACTGTTTACTAGGGAATGCATAGAGTTCAGATAACCTCCAGCAGCTGGAGGGACAGGGCTTCTACTGGGGGACTGTCCTCCTGATGAGGTCATCATTCCTTTCCCCTTCTGATCCTTTTTGTACTTCATCCTGCGGTTCTGAAACCATATTTTGATCTGTCTTTCTGTGAGATTTAACAAGTTAGCCATCTCTACCCTTCTTGGCCTGCAAAGGTATCTATTGAAGTGAAACTCCTTTTCCAGTTCTACCAGCTGGGCACTTGTGTAAGCTGTGCGGGCTCTTTTAGAAGAAGCTTGCCCAGGGGGACTTTTATCACCAGCACAACTCTCACCTATGCAAATCACACAAAGAACAAAGTGAGTATGGTGGCACCTGAAGACACAATAGCCAGAAACAATCAATCATCCCCCACAATGCCTGCTGTCATACAGCCTTTCCCAACCTGGTCTCATTCAAATATGTTGGATTACAGGCCCTATCATTCCCAGCCAGTGCAAACCAAGAGGGTTCTCGTCCAATGCACTTGAAAGACACCAGGCTGGGGTAGGTTGCATTAGCACATTGCAGGGCCCAGTAGTAGGATTGGTCCGCCATGCTCATGTGACAGACATTTATTTAACAAATGCAAGCACATTGCAGGTGTCTCTGTAGGAGCAGAGATGCAGCCTCTGGAAACCTCTAGAAATACAGCTGATCAAGAATGAAGTTTTACAGGAAAGATATGCATGCACATAAAGATATAGAGTTTGGCACTACACCCTGCCAGTTCCCACACCACCAAACCGAAAGTGGCTGGTTACATGAATTGGATCATTCTGAAGTAACTCAACTGAAGACCTACTGAAGTTGAGTCATTTGTTCCATATGGGATTTTAAGGAGGATATTCCTTCAAAATGGAGCCCGACTCACTCAGAATTAACTGCACGTGTCTCATTAATTTGAGTGGGGTCAGAATACTATGACATTCAAAGAAGTTCAGACTTCACAATATATATTTCATTAAGTACAACAACATAGGTATCCATGTCAATACACTGACCATCGGAATACAAAACCCATTCTCTATCTACTTCCTCTCCCAGTGGAGCTGCCAGATCCACAAAGCAGTAATCAATTACTTGAACTATTACCAGCTTGGGCCCACTGGAGCAAATGGCTTGAAATAAACATGGAGGGCTAGCTCTATGGTTGGGAAGGGGAAACTGGCCTGTCCCAGGTTATGATTTTCGGTGCAGGTAGAGCATAACAAATGGCCAATAACTCACTTTATTGGGTTTCAGCACCACTGCCAGCTCTGGGTCTGTGTGGAGTGGGTGGGAGATAGAGAGAGACTTGGGTATTTTCTAAAACATCTTGGTCCTTTTTGCAAAATCCACAGAGGTTCAACATAACTGAGGTCACATTGCATCCAATAGGTTTTAGACAGAGTTCCTACATTTCTTTGGAGATAAGTCCTATTGAAATCTATGCATTTGCTTCAGAGTGTAGTATCAAACTGTGCGCTTCCATTACACTAAGTTCTGAGATTTAGTGCATTGAAGAAGATAAGGCTGAGATCCTAGGTGTGTCTACCATGAACTAAGGCCTAGTAAGCTGAAAAGGATTTGCTTCCAGATGGGCTGCCCCCCTCAGGATCTGGCTGCCACCCTTAGTCCTTCTGTTGAACATGCTTATGGATGCAAGCCAGTGTTCTAAATTATATAACACACATGTGGATAAATATACAGTCTAGAGCACTGTATATATTAAATAATAAAGCTAGTCAATGTTGATTTTCCACTGTAATGTTATTAGCAAAGCACTGAAGAAAACATTTGCAAAAATTTTAGAATCTATTTTCTTGGCACAAGATAAATTGAGGAAGTAAGTGGCAAATAGAAGCCAAGTGCCTGGGGAGAGTGATGCTAATACTTTCCCCATCGATTTGGGTTTACTTATGTAATAGCACTGTTGATAAACACTATAATCCACCCATAATGTATTTATGGACCTGCCTGCAGAGTGCTAAAGAAACCTAAGCTTTGTTTACCACACTTGTATGGCTGCCAGTCTGTGCACTAAAATCAAAAGAGGTTATGAATATCAAACAATGCATTGATCCTGACTGCAGATCATGATGAGCTATTTTATTCTCATTACACTTTGGCAGGAATAGGTCACTGTCTTCTGACTGTAATAGCACCATGCCAAAAAACAAAACCAAACAAAAAGTACACAGATCTTACCACTGCTCGAGGACCTAGACCTTTGTATCTGGATGTGGTTTAATAGCAGTGGAAAGGAGGAAGGGGAAAGGTTGACTATGGAATGTTGAAGATGACTGTAACAGGCATTTCTGAGTCTGCAAAGAGAAGGGTCTGGGAGCTAAGCAACTTCACATTCTTTTATAAGAGTTTAGCAGAGGTCACCCAAAGCCAGCTGAAGCTTCTCTCATCATTCCAACTCTGGATTTGCGAGTGTGCACGTAATATACATACACATACTGAAATGAGATAATATTTGGGGTCCCAGAGACTGTGTGGGTTCAATCTCCAAGTGAAATAGCTGGGAGAAGTTCTGAGTCTTTCCTGCTGCTACTATGAAATACCAAGAAGCCAAGGACTGGAAGGGACTTCATCTTAACTGTCTGGTGGATCTGGCAGGCTGTGTAAGTACTTGTCTCATGAAATCTCTCTCAAGTTCTGCCAACCCTCCTTACCCCTGAACCGTTTCATACCTGAACTGGATCCGCTGTTTTTCTGCTTGGTGTTTTGTCGAGACTCTTTCATCCAGGGAAATATTTGCTTGGACATGGTGGGTGAGTTCAGGATGGAGCTCTTGGTGGCATTGGCTGGGGTGGCGTTGGGAGTGGCATTCTGAGGGGGTGACACGGACGGAGGTGGAGGGGGTGGAGGTGCTTGTTGACTTGGAGGCGGGGGTTGCTGCTGCTGTTGCTGCTGCTGCTGCTGTTGCTGGGGTGGCTCAGGAAGGACAGGGGGCTGGAGGGATTGGCTGGTGATGGTCCTCATGCAACTCTCACTGATGTCATTGGCCTTATGGTGGGGCACGGTGCTGCCCCCGCCCCCACCTGGGGACTGTAGAGAACAGGCAGGTCGATGGTACTCCGTTTCCACCAGCGAAGAAGAAGGAGGTGGAGGATATTGCTGCTGACTAGCATTGTAAGCGAAACCATTTGCTCCTTGGTAGGGATAGCCGCCATAGATCGCAGAGCTGTCGTAGTAGGTCGCTTTTTGCATTTCGTTGTTTCCCAATATTTATTTCACAAACTGACAGGGTCTTGACACCCTTAAAGAATAACATTGGCACCCCTCTGTCACGTGACGTTCTTCCTCCAATGGCCCCTCCTGGTAGACCTAGGGTGCAGGGAAAGCACACGAGAGTGAAGAAATAGTACAAATCCATCTTACTTTCAATAGCTAAGTGACATGAAAGCCATAACAGAAAAAGTGGTCAGCAATATTTAGCAGCATGACTTGGCCTGGAGGCAAAGAGAATTTCGATAGCAGGGGTGGGGACTGTTGGGATTTACTGGCAGCCAGGACCGTGTGGTTTACTGCTCTAAGAGTCCAGGTTTCAAGGATTTCCACCACATGCACAGGCTAAGAATTGTGTTATTGTTTTCCCCCACACAAATGGGACCTTGTAGATTTCTTAAGTGGATGCCTGCCAGATAAGGATGATCGGGGAAACTCGTGTGTATATTAGGTAAAAATTCCCTTCCCAGACTTAAAGGATTGAGAAAGTATTTAGAGGTTTTTTCCTTACACTTTAGAATACTCATCCCCCCCCCCCAAATTAAAACCCACATGCACACACCCCTTGCTGGAGCATAATTAAAATGTTGAATGCTTTTCCTTTTCAAGAAAATCAATACCTTCTTTATAAAGTTTATCATATAGCGGTACACAGCATCTTTGCATTTGGTCGGAAACGAAATCTCTGACGATCCTCATGTGAGGAAACTGAGCAGCAGCGAGGGGATATCCCTACTCTTCGCTGTCTAATAACCAGCCAACTTCCTGTGCATAAATTAGCTTTAACTGCTGTAACTTTAGACAGAGACACAAATCTGGCCTCTAGGATCAAACAGCCTCAACACAGAGAGAAACAGCAATCGAAGGCGATCTTCCAGCTAGACCTTTTTTATCCGGAGTTTCTTGGGCATCCTCAGGCCTAGCTCTGTCAGGTCTGTTCTGTTACATAGAAGCTTTGAAAATATACTATTCTTCCAAACGTCCCCACTTTTTCATGTAATGTACCCAAATTCTACTTGCTCAAACATGATGGATTGGGGAAAAGACGCACACCAGGAACCTTAAACACAGCGTCCATCTCCATGACCACGGCTTGAACTTTCCTACCAACTTAACGATAATAGGTTCTGTCTTCGAAACGGCTATGTAATTTGATGTATGAGGGTCATTTGGCTGCAGAAAGGGGAATGGACACACAAAACCACAGAATGCTCCTACAACCCATGCAAATCTTTTCTGTTCACTCAACAATGTTTACCTGCCTGGGCATAACCAGCTCAAATTGGAGGCTTCCATTCAGAGGAACCTTATCTGCAATCTAAGAAATTTTACAGACTGGACAGATATTATTCCCCTCCTCAGATTAAAACCTAGCCCTCCATAGCTTTGCTAGCATATCCCCATCTCATCCTCAGCTCACCCTTCAAGTCAAAATAGTTCTCTGCCAGTGCTTATTGCTTGAGGGAAACATTGCACAATAGCACGGGCGCGCTCAAATTAATTGCATGTGTTTGCATTTCAATTCACATCGGTTTCTTAGAAAACAAGCCACATTATAGAGACAAATTAATTTAATAAACTTCTTACAGATGGCAGCTGCCGTTTGATATTTTTGATGTTTATTTTTTTTAACAGTAATCAAGTCTTTGGGTAGTTATTATGCCCATCAAGAAAATGCAGGCAATTCACTTTATTTTGCTCCAGTTTAAAGAGTGTAACCCCAATCCAGTTTAGGTGAAAGCATTTGCACTGAAGCAGATTTTGTTCAAATTGAGAAAACATTGATTCCATCCCCAGTTCTTTGCTTTAAAGTAGCTGGTGGACCGTCCTGTTGCTATATGTTTCCTAATCATTCTGCTTAATTTCCAGACTGTTTTGCTGGTGGGGGTTTGAGATTTCCTGAAACACAAACTAGGAAGTGTAAAACACTCACGACTATCATCACCATTTCCTCTGGTCAGTTTTTTTAATGCTGTTCTATAGCTTTAAAGTTGGCACTTTCAGAAAGTTCAGAACTAACTCAGGTAGGGGAATAATGCCAAAAAGAGGTTTTAGTGAAAGGAGTAAAGCAGCATCCATTGTTCATAGCACAACAGTTCACACAAGTGTCACGCCATTAAACAATAAAATCAGTGGCAAAACTTCCATGCATCGCCATGGTGTAGGATCACAGCTTATACTGAATTGCACAGATCCAAGCGTGAATACTTGTGCAGGAGTTGCAGGGCAGAAGAAATAGCAGAGTTACTTCCCCCGTGCAAAGTTTGTCACCAAAACCAGCGACTTGACAAGCGCGCCCTTTCTTGTAACACTTGATTCTTTCTCATGGCATGGGACACTGCCTTGTTTATCGCCCTGAGAGTTTACACGCAGCCCGTTCTTAGGCATCTGGGTTCCAAGGACAACCCCATTTAGTTGGATGGAACCTGCTCCCAAGCAAGGGTGCAGAGGGGAATCCAAGAAGTAGTTAGCTTGGGAGAAAGTCACACTCTCTTCAGCAAGTCTAGGATTGTGGGCTGAGTTCAGGAGCATCTCAGAAGTGTCTAGCAAGGAGATGAGACTGGTTCTCACAAAATGGAATAGCCCTGCAGAGGAGGGCTTTCCTAAGTCCCTGAAAGCAATGGGAAGTTTTAGTAGAAAGTTTTGCTCGGTTGTAGAAGGATCCCAGTCTTATGCCCTCCCCACACACACGTTCCCCCACCCCCTTCCTTCCACTGCTCCAGAGGCCCGATCCACAATTCAGAACAGGCAAAATGCTTGGACTTGAGCCGACTTACTCCCGTGGGAAGCTCTGGGACTGGCTGGGCCTAAACGTCCCAGCCGTCCGCCTTAAGTGGTTGGTGGAGCGGGCAACAGCATTCCACCTCTTTCGCCTGGCGCTCTGGTGGTTCCCCTTCGCCCATCTAACCCTGCGATCCACGCAGGTACCCTTTCCACTCCCCACCCACCCACCCACCCACCTCCCCACGACCGCCGCCGCCGGCAGCCTCTCGCCCCGAGGTTTCCTGCCAGAGAAAGGAAAGTTGAGGGGCGAGGGGGCAACCGGCCTGAACTCGAAGTGTAAGGGTCTATCCGTCACTGCCTGGAAGGAAGCTCCAGCCTGTGAACTCTTCTTGAACCGAGATTTAAGTCTCTGGTCATAAATCACCAGGACATAAACTCCGCCATTCACCACTGATAGCAGCGTATTTGTGGCCTGCTTACCTTAACTTCTGACGACTGAGGCGGAAGCCGGCATTGCTGTGCGGAGACTCGGCGACAGTCGCTCCCCGGCAGCCCTGGGAGCAGGACTTGCCCCTTGCACTGCCCCCCTCCCGCCCCAGCCAAGCCCCCTCGGCTCCTCCGCGCCGGGAGCAGCTCAGCTCATCTCCTCCAGGATGAGCCCTCGAGTCAAGACGGGAGGAGCCGCGCTCGCTCGCCGAGAGGACACGCGCGGGGATCCTGCTCCGGCTCCGCCGCCGACGGATGGCCGCCCCCTCCCCCTCCCCTCCCCTCCCCTCCCCTCCCTCGCCCTCACCTAGCTCTCGAGCCCCTACCTCCACCTCCCCACCCCTCGGGCCGGCCGCCACCGGGACCCCCTCCCCGCGCGAGCGAAAGCCGCCCGCTTTTCCCCCGATGAGATTGCACAGAAACGCAGGGCCCTTGCTTATGAAAGCGTGCCAGCCCAAGGGGGCGTTTGTGGGGGGGAGGCAACTGCCTCGGGAAGGCCGGGGCAGTGGAGCAGGCAGGCAGGCGGGCAGGCAGCAGGCAGGGTGGGGGGGTGGGCTGGGGGGGTGGGGGACGTCGCATGGAAGGAGTGAGACGAAAGAGGGAGTGAAAGAGTGAAGCGCCGGGGCGGCACGAAGGGCCAGGAAAATTATGCTAATGAAGACAAAGGATGCGCACAAAGGGGTCATTCTCCCCGGACCTGATTGTGTGCGTGCGTGAGTGCGTATGTATATATTTATAATAAAACAGCTATTATGGCTTTGGCTTGGCGGAATGGAGAATTAAGGAAAGGGGGAATAGAAGCCTGGAAGCTATTATTCCTATAATAAATAATAAGGGGTTTTCTGATCGGTCTATCACCCAGGCCAATTGAGACAACAGTTTCAAAAGAACTATCAAAATAACGGCATTTCAAGATAAGGAAGGGATGCGCCTACCCAAGGCAGGGCTCCATAGCCAGGCAATACCCATGAAAGGAGTCCTCTACAAACCTGGCTTAGGTTTATTTATTTAACATGCACTTGCCCATCTACAAGCCATACGCGTGCGCGCGCTCTCTCTCTCTCTCTCTCACACACACACACACACACACACAAGCACACATACACACAGAGTACAAGCTACGGGGAGGATGTGCCACCCAGTTTAGAGCAAACTGAACATCACTTATGGAAAAGGACAGCCTCACTCCAGACCCATTTCAGAAGATCAGCTTGCATTTTCACCCCATTCAAGTCAATGGGGCTGAGAACAACAGCAAGTCTAAACCTCTTGAATTGCGAATAAATCCAACTGAAATCAAAAGCATTTGCTTAAGGTAAACATGACCATAAGCCAGGGTAGTTCATTGAAATAAATGGGAGTGAACTTCTCAGTTATTCTGGAGGGTTTCTAGACTTTCTGAAGTAAATCCGGGTTGAGAAGAAGGGCTTGTCAGCCTTGTAAATATGCTCAGATAGACCAACATGCACAGTTTTCACACAAAAGTCCATAACTCAATATGCTTTTATTAAAAACAAGGAAGCAAAGGTCGATGGAAGTGAGTAGGTTGGTTTTGTGAACTTCAGTTCTGTCTCGTTTCTCTTCCTTTTTATGGTCCCCTCCTTCCTCCTACCCGTTTCTTTTCCTTCCCCTCCTTCTCCGCCACCCTTCTTCTGTCCATCCTCCAACCCAAGTTGCGCGAGGTTTAAAATAACAACCAACAAGCGGACTGTTTTTCGACCCCCACCCACCCTCCCAAAGGAAAAAATAATTCGGGACATCGAAAGGAGGGCTCTAAAGCAACACAAAGAAGTTGCCCGGCACTTCA